TCTTTTTTCAGGCGCGCCATCTCTCCCCCCCCTAGCCCGTGCTTCCGCGTCAAATTTAATACCATTTCTGACAGTTAATCAATGGAACTCGCGCAAAACGGACTTTCGGGTATCGCATTTTGGAAATAATCTCCAAAGACAGAAGGTGTAATGTCTATAATACATCATGACTCACATAGAATAAACCACTGTCATATGTGTACTGCTAAGAATAAACCACTGTCATATGTGTACTGCTACACTTCCAGATGCCTTGACTAGAACAACAAAAGCATGACGCAGTCGGCTCGGGCCATTACATTTTGTAGCGAGCAACCTGTTACTGCCCCGCTTACGCCTTTTATAACTTCACCTTGACAAGGAAACTGAGCCAAATGTATAGACCGAACTTTTACAACCGACCCACTCTAATTTTCTTTCTAGAAGATCACCTCAACTCTACCTTTTGCGCGATCAAAAGAATAATGGACCTGGTGCAGCATCTCATCAGTAAATAAAAAATTACCTCCAAATATCTTTGAAAACCTCTCGACACTGTCCACCACTGGAAGAACGTAGGCAACGGCGATATCCTTCTGACCTTCTAAAACAAGCAAAGTTAAAGAGAAGATTGAGGAGGTACCGAAGAAGTTTACCTTGGAAAGGAGATGTCAAGTTCATATTTTCGAAAACCTCATCAACGACTTTCAAACAGCCGGCGGCTTCCAAAACGGTGACCTGTAAATTGTCTTTCACTATGACCACAAAGGATTCGAGGTGCGTGGTGAATTGGAGTCAGAGAGCGACAGAGAGAGAAAGAGACAGACAGACAGACAGACAGACAGACAGACAGACAGACAGACAGACAGACAGATCTATCTATCTATCTATCTATCTATCTATCTATCTATCTATCTATCTATCTATCTATCTATCTATCTATCTATCTATCTATCTATCTATCTATCTATCTATCTATCTATCTATCTATCTATCTATCTATCTATCTATCTTCTCGTCTCTGATCTCT